CGGCATGGGTGACCCTACCAGGTGCACATGGCACCCGCCGACATAGCTCTAGGGGTCACTGGGGCACGCAAACCACTCCACCACGATCAGGTGATGACTTCATGGAGCGGGGCTCTACTCTATACACTCTCCTATTCATCTCGTTCTGCCCGCTTAACCCGAAACACAATTAATGCAAGCGTATGGGCGGCAACACGCTTCAAAGTATTTGAAAAGTACCGTCCGTTTGTATGACAGGGGCTTATCCCTAAATGTGTTGTGTCATGAATGGTTGTTATTCCTTAGCTTCGGTTGTACGTAGCCATCATTAGGGAGCTTAAACAACGACGGCGACTACGCCGAGGACGACGGCTAATAAAAAATGAATTTATATTTTACAAGCGAAACTCCCTGAGTCGCGATTGTCTTGATCTGTTCGGTACGCCAATGCCTCTGAAAACCTGCTTAAGCTAAATATGCAACGACGGCGTTCAGTTCCAAATGAAAATACGAAAAATTAGCCGTCGTTGTCCACGTTCAGTAGACAACGCAAAATTTGGTCATTTCACGTCCTTGTTTGCAGAGGACGGCAAAGAAATGCACTAAGATTTATAACGCACGTACACGGCTATTGTTTGGCTCATTAAACCTTTTGCTTGGTGATGTTCTCGTTGCTGTCGTCGTCGTGGTTTGCTTAAACTCCCTAATATTATCAGTGAAGGACATGAAAATTGTCGACTTTTTCCCTAGATCCAAGAGAGGAGTTGGGGAGAAAGCTAAAGATCCAAATATTCGGGACAAAAGGTAACTGTTTCCAATGTGGAAGAAACGTCTTCCTCACCGAAGCTTTAAAGAAGAGGACAAAAAGCGATTCGACTGAGTCCATGTCTGTGGAAAGCTGCATTGAGCTACCGGCGACCAGTTATGCTTCATCAATCAAGTTTTTTTCTCGTATTAATTATATTAAAAATAGACTAGACAGCTCTATGACAAATAGTTCATACAAGATGGATGCGGTGTTAATCAGTAACTCTGAGACCCTTAAAAGAAATAAGCACCAGCTGAACAGCAAATATAGGATTTCTTTTGCTGAACTGTAACCTCTAAAATGATATTAAATGACGTGGATCTACCGTTGAAGTTTTTGCATTAATTGCCAACAGATAATCAGTTATTTTTTGCACGTTCATTTTTCATAACATCCTTTGAGAATTAAAACTCGCGCTAATCGCAATATAAAACGACCTTAATTACTGTTTCGGTAAGACACATGCGCCACCATATCATCTTCAATTAAGCTTAATTAAACTTGGCATTCAACTTACGCAAAAGAGATCACCAGTCTGCCGACAGCCTGTTAGCCTGTAGTGGTGGTACTGATATGACTACTTCCTTAGTAGCTACCCTTCTTATCCACTCTTCAGTTTTGCGTTTCTTCCTTTTTCTTGGAGGTGGGACAAGTTACTCGACCTCTATGGTGGAACTGTGCTGATTAAAGTCTGGAATGACAAGTCTGCCGTGGGATGAAGGATTGTGCTTTTTTATTTAAGCTGATCTGAGTCCTTTTCAACTTTTCTCTTCAATCTAGTGAATGAATATAATAATCTTCAGTGATCATTGGAGTAAATATTGCAGAATCGATCAGACTCAAAGAGTTTTGAATAAAAAAATCACTCTTAATGTATAATCAGAGGAGAAACTAATTGCATGTAATAGTGATGGTCACTAGAAGCAAAGAAGCTAGAAACAATACTTAACAAAGACATAAGACTTTACGACCGTATTACTTCATTACTGCATAAAACCGAAGGCAACATTATTGCAATATATTTTAGTCCTGTTGACTACGTCTCCTCCATTTGCATCACTCGTTGAGGGGGCGGAGTGAAGACAGATGGCAGAGTCCAGGGAAGGGAGCTCGAGCTAACTAGGAAATACAATATCCAAATACCCTTCGGCAAATATACGAGAATAAAGAAATGAAATGACTGCAAACCTTTTGCCACCACCGCCTTGTGCTACCACCAAACATGGCTCCATTAAATACAAACGTAGAACAAACGCAAGGAAGGACTTACTCACGCGCATGACGATAACAGTTGTAAATGGTCCCGCTTGCTTGAAGGTGATCTGAAATAAGACGTGTCGAGTTCGTTATAGTCGTGGTCTAAGTCCACAAACTGACTTAAAGAACNCTTGTGGTTGTCCGTAATTTCATTCGCCGCTAAATACTGCTCGAGGCGTTCGGTGTACTCAATTCAGCTGTCGTTCTCGTTGTATTCATCGATTTTCCCGATCAATGCCGTGGTTTTGTCCCACCTCGTCGCCAGTGTAATATTCTAGAGCCAATAAACCAGCCAAAACTCGAAAACGCAACTCTATTTTAATTCAAGCGACTGACAACGTGTTTCATCCGACCGAACTACTGGAAAACTACTGGAGGAGCGGTTACACAGCTCACAACATTCTACACATGTAATAGCGATGATCACTAGAAGCAAAGAAGCTAGAAACAATACTTAACAAATGCAACAGACTTTATGACCGTATTACTTCATTACTGGATAAAACCGAAGGCAACATTGCAATATATTTTAGTCCTGTTGACTACGTCTCCTCTATTTGCATCACTCGTTGCGAGGGTGGAGCGAAGAGTGATGGCAGAGTCCAGGAAAGGGGGCTCGAGCCAACTAGGAAATACAATATCCAAATACCCTTCGGCAAATATATGAGAATAAAGAAATGAAATGACTGCAAACCTTTTGCCACCACCGCCTTGTGCTACCACCAAACATGGCTCCATTAAACACAAACGTAGAAGAAACGCAAAGAAGCACTTATTCACGCGCATGGCGATAACAGTTGTAAATGGTCCTGCTTGCTTGAAGGTGATCTGAAATAAGGCGTATCGAGTTCGTTAGAGTCGTGGTCTAAGTCCACAAACTGACTTAAGGAACACGTTTATTGCATCTCCGTTTCATTACTAAATGTTATTAGCTAGAGAGAACTTGCCAGGATCTTGAAATGCAAGCCACCCCGCCAAACGTGTCAGTGTTTAGATGCCTACCAGTACCTAGATTTTTTAATGGTCCCGTATGGACTCCATTAGGAAAAGCACTTGAAATATACTTACTGCGAGCGAATCCAATTTCAGGCTATCAAACCAGTTTGAATGTCTTACAAAAAACTGAACAACAGGATCGAATAGCTACTGCTTTATAATCAACGGCCTTACGTCATCCGTTTGTGTGAAAACCAAGCATATACCCCACTGATGAAATTGCTGAATGGAAGTCAAGAAAATTCAGCCATGCATTCTGAGCTGAGTGCACGTTTAAGCTCGCTCCTCACCTGTGCAGCAAGCATAAGCGTAAACATAAGCATAAGAAGCTTACGCGCTGTGATTTAAGCATAAGTGTTTTCCTTATGCTTATGCTTTTGCTTATGTTTAGTGGGCACATGGTTGCCTTAAGCATTAGGTTCTCGCTGATTGGCTATATGTCTTTCGCTTATGCTTATGCTTTCGTCGCTAGTGAAGACCGGGCTTTGCGAAGGAGGATCATGAAATTATCTGGTAATAAAATAAACTGTGCAGCCAGATAGGCAGAGAGATTAATTGTGTAAGAACAGTTGAGAGGTGTTATTCTGTCCCTGGTGGGTATTATTACCAACAACATCCAAATAAATAAAGTCTGGTTCTGATATGTCGCCGACATACCTGGCACGGCCTGGGACACCGTTGCGGCATATGTGAAAATTTATTGCCAAATCATAATCTGTCCCAGGCATTGACCGCCGGCCTGCCTGCGAAGTTGAGATGAGTTCAACCCCGCAGGCAACCCGGCGGTTGTCGGTGATGAATATATTTTATGTGAACATCATCTGGACCATCTGCGGACGCGACGTATGACGTAAAAACTCGAATTTTCCCACAATTCCATACTTTGCAGGTGGAGTGGTTGAAAATTGCGCCAATTTGATTTGCATTTCACGCCAATTTGAGTACGTCGGCGATCCATCGCAGATGCGCCGGGGATCCACTGGAACAGATCGCCGAACGCTGTCACTTGCAACCGGCGACTACTTCGCAGGTAGGTCGGCAGCATATGAGAACCAGGCTTAACTTTGGAGCTCTGCTTTTAGGACTGGCTAAATCTACATATTATGTTATGATTATCAGTGCCCTAGTGGAACCCCTAAGCTAGGAAAATTGAGTTATTAATGGAGCTAAAAAAATCGTGGTTGTCATATGGCTGTCCGTACGTACGCTCGTACAAATTCACGAGCTTTCAAGGTCTTGTTTTCTTAAAGTGGAAAGACGAAACAATAAAAAAATATATAAGAGGCATATAAGAAGAAAATCATGTGACAGAGAGTTGTCGATAGACAGTCCACCACTAGCCAAATACACTGAAGGGAATAACTGTTTTAGTACATATATGTACTGATGAAGGACTGAGATAAAGTACCCAAACAAAACGGCAGAAAGCCCAGAAGATTCCCACTGAAGTAAAATACCAAATTGCGGTAAGCGACATTTTCTTGTAGAAACTGTCGTCGCGTTTTCTAAACGTTTGAAAGCACTAGTCAATTTGCTTTGGCGAAATATCTTTAAAAGGAGTAGTAAGGTCGGATCATGTATCTTATGGGGGGCCTCGATCGACACATCGACACATCAACACATCGGTCGACACATCGATCGAGATATCGGTCAATGTCTCGATCGATACTAGACCGATACTCGGTCGACATACCACCTATATAACGCTCAATTGTCATCTGAGTGTCGACCGCTAGTATCGATCGCCATAGTGTCGGTCGGTTATCGGTCAACTATCGGTCGCATGTCAGTGAACTATCAACCTTTGTCGGATAAGTTTTACAGTACCTCGATCGACATATCGGCCGATATGTCATTTACAAGACCAATAAAGAAAGCACGAGAGAGGAAAAATATGAGAGACTGGGTTATTCGCATTAACTTAATTAAAAAGTCAAGTTGTTTGTTCTGATCTGAGAAGCGAACTTTTTTCCGAGAGCGAAGCTCGAGGAAAACTGTGAGCTTATTATCCTTTAACTATTTTTACACGAGGTTGCATTTGGGTGACCTTTTATTCTGTCGCTGGTCGAAATGTTAGTCTATTCAAAATGTTTAGTTCTATTCATTTTAACAATTTTCCCGGGACGAGAAACTAAAACGCAAATTTCGGCAACTGGGAATCATCACTTGGGGTCTTCCGTGTATCCATGAGGCATGAAAAACTGACGTCAATTGTTTTAATTTCGTTTGTCTCTAAACAACACTTGTGTTGCCTTTTCGACGTCTTAGTAAATTGCAATTGTAAACAAAATAGTTCTGTGTCGGTTGTCGCTGTAACCTCATGGCTAAATATAATTAATAAAACATTATGTAATTTGTCAATACCGCCAAGCCCAATTTTGTAGTTTCTTCTTTGGGTGACTGCTAAAATTTCTTCTACTGTTACGGTTGGAAACCAAGAAACCATAAGCTTGCATTAAATAGCAGATAGACCAAGACAAGCCATTTTACCACCGCCGCCATATTGACGATTTTTAGTTAAAGTAATTTTCATTGCTATCATACACGAACAGCCATTCTCTTAATCAAAGGAGACCTATGGTCAAACTCGTGGATTAAGTAATCTAGAGATGAAACATGTTGACGAACTTGTAATTATTGGTGTATTTTTAAGGACT